ATATATAGATTATTATAGATTATAACTGGATAGATTGTCGAGTATATCGAGCGTAGAACTTCGCGTTTCGAGAACCGGCACACGCGAATCTGGCGCAAAGGTTTGCGTCTCGAGATTTCGCTACACGCACCTTGAGCGGCGAGAAGTGGAGGAGGTCGTAGTAGTTACGCGGTCCAGCAGCGAGCACGGTCGTCGCGAGGGTCTCACGAAGGTCGACGTGGGTCACCGCGCGATCCGCCTCCATCTGCCGCGGCTCGTAGAGCGGCACGTCGACACCCGGCGCAAACATCGCCAGCATGCCGTTGATAAAGCCCTGGTCGGCCTGCAGCGCCATCTCCTGGATGAGAACCTAAACAAATAGGGCAATGAATGTAATCAGATAGAAAATGTGGAAATTGACTTGGAAAATGCAACGATGTGGTTGCGTAACAATGTGACAGAGATGCCAACACTTTTCTGAGCAAACTGTAGTGAAGATGTCTGAAATCTGTAGTCCGAGGGTCACGCAGTGACCCGAATATGCTAGGAGGTTCGGGACATGCACCACCCGGAAATTTTTTGATTCCGAGATGCAATTTCCTGCATTCTGGGACCCAAAATGACAATAAGTTCACACTGATATTTGCTGCTAAATACATGTAGTTATTTTCAATCATGTTATATCAATGTAACACTGAAACAAAACACTTGAAATATGACCAAAATGATTTTTTTTCGATCGTAATAAAAATCGTAGTTGTATGCAAACTGGTCGTAGTGGTCAAAATGCAAACGAAATTCGTATAAAATACGGATAAAGCGTAGTGGTTGGCATCTCTGATATGAGGATAATTGAGATACGTTGCACAATGATATATGGTGTCGTATGATTTTCTTAAATATTTATATGACAATTGCTATAGGTATATGACATCCCGCCGACCCTCGGCACCGACCTTTCCCCTGCCCCCGACCCATCCTGACGATCTTCGGCGTCCATCTTGACGTTCTTTATCTTCTGCACATCGCTGTGCTCTCCCCCTCCCCCATCCCACTGAGTCACTGACCCTCTGCCCCACTCCCATCCAGACGACCTTCAGCACTGACCTTGAAGTACTTGATCCGCTGCACGTAACGTCCTGCAGTATCTGGTTGCCCTCGGCCTCACGCAGCTGGTAGGGCCGGATAACGCCGTCTGCGTGGATCATCCGCGGCGGCCGCTGTCGCCTAACCTACACACACACACCAGGGGAAAAAATGACTTTTTTTTACGGGAGCTCTTTTTTTCAAGTCTGGGAAAAATAGCTCTCGTCAAACATTTTACGGGAGCTATTTTGAGCCTCACGGGAGCGATTTCGGAGGTTTCAAGAGCGAATCGTGAATCGCTCCCGTGTATTTTCTACCCTCACACACACGGGTGTTAACGAAAACCATGGGTTAAGATCATCAGATGCAATTCACTTTTTTTAATTATAAAATCTAAATTTTAATGGTAAATTCTAAAAAAAAACATTTTCCTAATTTTTCTCAAGACGGAAATCTGTCGACAGACGAACAGTTAACAACAATGCACAAACGTAACGACGCGCGAGACATGGAGAAACGACGTGAAGCGATAAAAGACATGGAGAAAAAACACGTTGCGGACGGACAACGGACATGTTGCGGATTTCCCCACCAGCAGCGGAAGCTTTCGAAGAAGCTGAATGTTAAGAGGTTCCTTCCCCCCCGTGCGCACCCGTCACTGTAGGCTCTTTACGCCAAGAGAGAGAGAGAGACACCGAGAGAAGAGCTCACCTCCTCCGACATGTCGGTCGCCTTGCGGATGCTCTCCAGCGACGTGCTCGCAAAGTCGACGACGCCGCTCGTCGGCCGCGCGACCAGCCCGATCAGACCCTTCCCGGCGCCCTTGAAGAAGCCGGCGGCGCCCTCCTGCTTGGCGCCCTCCACCGGCTTCAGCACGACGCCGCTCACGCCGTCCCACACGCCCATGACGAGCCCCTTGCCGCCCTGCGCGAGCCCGGACTTCAGGTTGGCCGGCCGCTTGTTCAGCTGCTCCTGCCGCTTGCGCTGGTAGTCGTCGTCGAGCGTGAGCGCGGCGAGGCCCTTGCCGAGCGTGCCCGTGATGCGGCCGACCGCGCCGGCCGCGCCGCCGACGACGCCGCCGAAGAGGCTGCGCACGCCGAGCGCGAGTCCCTCGGCGAACTCCTCGGGGCCCTGCACGACGCCCTGCATCGGCTCGTAGAAGAGGTCGGTGACGCCGTCCTTGACGCCCGTGATGAGGCCGAACGGGTTGCCGAGCACGTCCAGGCCGAGCACGAGCACGTACAGCTGCTTGACCGCCTGCCCGACGTAGTGCATCGTCGCCTCCGCCTGCAGCTGCACCTGCGTGTAGAACGCGCTCTCGCGTTCGAAGTACGCCAGCTTGAAGACGACGTCCTGGATCTCGGTGACCGTCACGCCGACGCTCTTGAGGAGGAGGCCGACGACGTTGGCGTGCAGTGGCGCCGCCGGGCGGCCGTTGGCAGCGGCCGCGGTGCCGCCCTGAGAGAAGCTGATGTGCACCTTAAAATATAAATTACATTATATACGTATATAAAATATATATTGGTACATATTATATAAGTGTATGTTGGTATATATATATATGCTGCGTAGAAATGCTACCTTATCATAATATGTACACCATGTTTAGCGTATGGCGTCGAGTGGTTTGGTCACGTATTAGCATGTGGGGTGAGGCGGCGATAAGAGCGTGAGAGAGCGGTGGCGACAAGAGAGTGCGAGAGAGAGGTGGCGCTAAGAAAGCGTGAGAGCGGTGGCGACAAGAGAGCGCGAGAGAGCGGTGGCGATAAGAGAGCGTGAGAGAGCGGTGGCGATAAGAGAGCGTGAGAGAGCGGTGGCAATAAGAGAGCTAGTCGGCGACAGATGAGCGCAGGAGAGCGTGGCGACAAGCGAGAACGTGAGAGAGCGAGTGGCCCGACAAGAGAGCAGTGGCGACAAGCTGAGAGCGCGCAGAGGCGGTGGCGACAAGAGAACGTGAGTGAGGAGCAGTGCCGACAAGAGAGCGTCGAGAGAGGTGGCCGACAAGAGAGCGTCGGAGAGCGTGGCGGACAGAGAACGTGGATGGAGAGCGTGCGACAGAGAGCAGTGGCGACAAGAGAGCGCGGAAGAGAGCGGGTGGCGACAAGAGCAACGGTGAGAGATGCCAGTGGCGACAAGGAGAGCTAGACGAGACAGTGGCGACAAGAGCAGAACGTGAGAGAGCGGTGCCGACAGAGAAGCGGTGGCGACATGTGAGCGTGAGAGAGCGGGTGCGGCGACCAAGAGAGGTGAGAGAGCAGTGGCGACAAGAAAAACGTCGAGAGAGCTCGGGTGGCACAAGAGACCAGTCGGCCGACAAGACGGAGCGCGAGAGAGCGGTGGCGACAAGACGAGCGTGACGAGAGCGTGGGACAGAGCAGCGTGAGAGAGCGGTGGCCGGACAAGAGCAACGTGAGAGAGAGCGAGTGCTGCGAACAAGAGACCGTGACGAGAGCTGTGGCAACACGAGAGAGCGTGATGAGAGCGTGCGACAAGAGAGCAGTGCCGACAAGAGATCGCGACGAGAGCCGGTGCCGACAGAGCAGCGTGAGAGAGCCGGTGGCGACAAGAGAAGTGAGAGAGCAGTGGCCGACAAGAGAGCGGAGAGAGCGGTGGCGACAACGAGAACCGTGAGAGAGCAGTGGCCGACAAGAGAGTAGAGAGCAGTGGCGACAGAGAACGTCGAGAGAGCAGTGGCACAAGAGACGTGGAAAGCGGGTGGGCTGACATGAGAACGTGGAGAGAGCTAAGTGGCGACAAGAGAGCTTGAGAGAGCAGGTTGCGACAATGAGATGCGTCGAGAGAGCGGTGGCGCAAGGAGAACGTCGAGAGAGCGGTGGCGGACAAGAGAAGCAGTTCCGACAAAAGCGTCGAAAGCGTGGCCCCGCACAATGAGAAACGTGAGAGAGCGGTGGCGACAAGAGAGCGCGGAGAGAGCGTGGCGACAAGAAACGAGAGAAGCGGTTGGCCGACAAGGAGGAGCGCGACCGAGGCGGTGCGGACAGAGAGCAGTGGCGACAAGAGAGCGTGAGCAGAGCAGTGGCGACAAGAGAACGTGAGAGAGCGGGTGGCGACAAGAGAGCAGTTGGCGACAAGAGAACGTCGAGAGAGCAGTGGCGACAAGAAGAGCTGTTGAGAGAGCAGTGGCGACAAACGAGAACGCTGGAGAGAGCGGGGGGCGACAAGCGAGAACGTCGAGAGACAGTCGGCGACAGAGAGCCGTGAGAGAGCGGTGGCGACAAGAGATCGCCCGAGAGAGCGGTGGCAACAACAGAGCAGTGGCCGACAAGAGAACGTGAGAGAGCCGTGGCCGACAATGAGAGCGCTGGAGAGGAAGCGAGGTGGGACGACAAGAGAGCGCGAATGGAGCGGTCGGCACGACAACGAGAGCAGTGCGCGTGCACAGAGGCCGTTGAGAGAGCAGTGGCGACAAGAGAACGTGAGAGAGACGGTGGCGACAGAGAGCAGTGCGCGCAAAGAGAACGTGAGAGAGAGGGCGACAAGAGAGCGTGAGAGAGCAGTGGCCGACAAGAGAACGTCGAGAGCAGCGGTGGCGACAACAGAACGTGAGCAGAGCGGGGTGGCGCACAAGAGAGCATGGCGACAAGAGAACGTGGAGAAGAGCAGTGGCGATAAGAAGAGCCAAGTCGGCGACAGAGAGACGTGACCTGAGAGCAGTGGCGATCAAGAGCGTTTGAGAGAGACGGGCTGGCGACAAGACAGAGCGCTGAGAGCAGCAGGGGCGACAAGAGAGCGGACGAGGACAGGTGGCGACCACCGAGAGCAGTGGGCCGACAAGAGAACGCTGAGGATGAGAGCAGTGGGCGACAACGCAGAGCGTGCACAGAGGAGCGTGGCGACAACGAGAACGTTTGATAGAGCGGTGGCCGACAATAAGAGAGCAGTGGCGACAATGAGAACTGAAAGACAGTGGCGACACGAGAGCGTGAGAGAGCAGTGCGCGACAAGAGAACGTCGAGAGACGGTTGGCGACAAGAGAGCAGTGGCGACAAGAGAAGCGCTGAGAGAGCAGTAACAAGAGGAGCGTGAGAGAGCAGTTGGCGACAAGAGAGCTGGAGAGACGGTGGCGACAGAGAGCCAGTGCGACAATGATGAGCGCAGAGAGAGCGGGGTGCCGACAAGAGAGCGTGAGAGCAGCGAGTGGCGACAATGAGAGCGTGTAGAGAGCGCGGTGGCGACAAGAGAACGTGCAGAGAGCGTCGGCCGACAAGAGAACGTGAGAGAGCGGTGCGCGACAAGAGAGCAGTGGCGACAAGAGAACGTGACGAGAGCGAGTTGGCGACAAATCGAGAGCGTGAGAGAGCGGATGGCGACAAGAGAAGTGAAGAGCGTGGCGACACAGAGAACGTGAGAGACGCTGCGACAAGCAGAACGTGGACGAGACGTGGGCGAAAAAGCAGGAGAACGTGAGAGAAGCGGTGGCGACAGCAGGATCAGTGGCGACACGAGAAGTGAGAGCAGTGCGACAAGCAGAGCCGTGACGCAGAGCATGGCGACTAGACGAGCGGAGAGAGCAGTGGCCGACAAGAGAGCAGTGGCGACAAGAGAACGTGAGAGAGCGCCGTGGCGACAAGCCACGGAGAAGTTGTGAGAGCGGGCTGGCGACAACACGCGGAAAGCAGATATGCACGGAATGTCGAGCATAGCATTGATCGAGTGAATAGATGGATAGATTATCCATTATATACATATATATATTATTATAGATTATAACTGGATAGATTGTCGAGTATATCGAGTGTAGAACTTCGCGTTTCGAGAAACCGTCCGCGCACGCGATGCCCGAATCTGGCGCAAAGGTTTGTGTTCGAGATTTCGCTACACGCGACCGTTACCGCGCGGAAAGTGGAGGAGGTCGTGGTAGTTACGCGGTCCAGGCAGCGAGCACGGTCGTCGCGAGGTCTCAACAAGGTCGACGTGGGTCAGCGCGCCCGAATCCGCCTCCATGCGGCCGCTAGCTCGTTAGAGCGCGCACGTCGACAGATCCGGCGCAAACATCGCCAGCATGCCTGTTGATGAACGCCCTTGGTCGTCTGCACGCCATTCCTGGATTGCGAACCGCTAAACAAATAGGACAATGAATGTAATTCAGATAGGAAATTGCGAAATTGGCCTTGGAAAACTGCAACGATTGGTGCGTTGCGTAACGATATGAGGCATAATTAGAACGCTATCGTCTCCAGAGATACTATATTGGTGGTCGTATGATTTCCTTTAAATATTTGATTAGTGACATTGCTGATAGTTATATTACATCCCGCCGACCCTCGATCACGACCTTTCCCCTGCCCCCGACCCATCCTGCCGACCTTCGGGCCGTCCATACTTGACAGGTTCTGTCATCTTCTGCACATCGGCTGTGCCCTCCCCCTCCCTCCATCCGCACTGACCTTCCTCGCCCACTCCCATCCAGCACGACGTTCGCGAACTGACCTTTGAAAGTATCTTGATCTTGCCTGCACCTGTGCTGTGCTCTGCCCCCACATCCCAAACCCCTGCCCCCAGCCGCCAGCCCTCGACCTTCAGCACTCGACCTTTAAAGTATTGAATCTGCTACAGGTCGCTGTGCTCTCCCCCCATCCCACCCTGTCCCCAGCCCCACCTCCTCGACCTTCAGCACTGACCTTGAAGTACTTGATCTGCTGCACGTTGCTGTGCTCTCCCCCCAGCCCCACCTCCTCGACCTTCAGCACTGACCTTGAAGTACTTGATCTGCTGCACGTTGCTGTGCTCTCCCCCCAGCCCCACCTCCTCGACCTTCAGCACTGACCTTGAAGTACTTGATCTGCTGCACGTTGCTGTGCTCTCCCCCCAGCCCCACCTCCTCGACCTTCAGCACTGACCTTGAAGTACTTGATCTGCTGCACGTTGCTCCTCCCTGCCCCCAGCCCCACCTCCTCGACCTTCAGCACTGACCTTGAAGTACTTGATCTGCTGCACGTCGCTGTGCTCCACGTTGCGCTTCATCACGCTCAGCTCGACGAACGGCTTCGGCACGCTCTCGGCGGCGACGGACCGCGGCGGCGGCACGGGCGCGAGCACGACGGCGAACGCGCTCGCGGGAAGCTGGTTGTCGACCTGAACGTGCTGAAGCTTCGCGTGCAGCTGCGTCGAGTGCGCGGACGCGCGCGCGTTCAGCCACACGCCGTGCTGGTAGGTGCGGCGCACGCGGCACTTGCGCGGCTTGTAGAGCGCCATCTCGGCGAAGTCGATCTCCATCTTGTTTTCGGTGTGGACGCGCGGCTTCGCCTTGCGGCCCGCTGCGACGTCGGCGAGGTACTTTTGGTAGTGCCGCTCGACGATCTCGCTCTCCTTCAGCTTCATGCCCTTGATGTTGGAAATGAAATTGAGAAAAAAGGTTTTTAGATTCTAGCCTGTCACGTCTACATTTCGCTCCCCTTCAGTATCACGCCCTTGAGGTCGGAAACAAAAATCATGGAATTTTTCTTTTTTCAAAAATAATCCTTCAGCTTCTAATGTCCTTGAGGTCGGGGAAAAAATCGAATAAAACAAAAGAATTTGGGGGGGAAAAATCCTTTAGATCCTTTTGAAGTCGAAAAAAAAGTTGAGAAAAGCTTTTGGATTCTCACTTGTTACGTCTACGTCCGTCCGTGATGACGCATCAAACTATCGATATTAAAATAAAAATCGAAATATTAAATACGAACAGTATCAGTACGTCGATAGTAAAATGGAAGTGTAGATAAGAGTCGCTTATAGCGCCAAAGTTTCACGAACAGAAACATACTAACTGCATTAAAAAAATATGAATCCGATTGGCAACGCCTACCTTGAATCGTTTGCGTTTCGTCTCCCAGATGACGCCACTGCTCGTCAGTGACACGTAGCAGACGTCGGTACGCGTCGTGTCGTCGATGAGCGACAAGCCGAAGCCGTTCAGAGCGACGGTGGCATCCATGTCTGCCGCCTCCAGCTCACCCGCCTGCTGTGCCATCGTTGCCAACACCAGGTCCTGCGGGGGCGAACAATCACACAAAATACGAACTCATTATCGCACATCGCGTCATTTTCGTTTCATCCTGCAAATTTCATTTCATTCGACAGTTTAGTTTCACGTAACAGGTTCAGTACAGCAGTCGATATATATATTGAAATTAATATTATGCAAACTTACTCTCATCATTACAGACTACTAAAAATTATTATGCTTCCGGTTGCTCAAAACAACAATGTTCAACTTTGTTCAAATAAACACATGCAACATGGAAACCATGCAATGCAATACAGCACTATACAATAGCATGACTAGGACTATACTTATACCAAGAATACAATACAACATGTACAATACAATACCATATAACAAAATAATGCAATACAGTACAAATACAATTCAACAACATAAAACAAAATACAATACAAATCAACACAACAGAGTACAACGCTACGTACCTGTGTGAACATGACGACGCGCTGCATGCCGTCGAGGAACGACGCAAAGTAGACCTTCGTGTCGGTGTTCGCGAACAACTCCTCAACAGCGTCGCGCTGCAGCGCGTTCACTTGGTTCTTGCGCTCGCCGCACGACCATTGCAGCTCTCGCTTCAACTCGAGCGCGTCCTGCCACACGAAGAGCGCGGTCGTGCGCGGCGCGAGCCGGCACGGCACGCCCTCGACGCCGCGCTGAGCGTACTCCACCGTGACGCCGTCGCAGTGGTTGACGACGCGCGTCGGCGCCGCGCCGTCGTGGTACCGGTCGAAAGCGATGATCGTCGACGACTCGTTCACCTGGCAGTCGACGTCGACGCCGCCGTACGCGTTGTCGAGCCGCATCAATGTCTCGTGCAGCTTGTTGCAGAGGAAGGGCTTCGTCTCGCCGGCGACGCCCGTCACACGCGCCACCATCTGCTTGATCTTGTCGGTCTGGCGCGGGTAGAAGGGCAGGCAGGCGCCGGCGGGAACCGTCGTCCACTCGGCTCCCGTTATGAACTCCTTGCAGTCGACGTCGTACGGCGCCTTGTTCATGAGCATGAAGTACGGCGTGAAGACGACGACCTTGCTCAGGCCGAAGGACGTCATCGAGATCGAAACGGCGATGTCGCACGCGCCGCTGCCGCCGTTGCTCCCGCCCTTGCACGCGACCTTGCCCGAGCTGCCGACGGTGTCGAGCGAGAACTTGTCCGACCACTCCGAGTCGTCGACCCGCAGCGTCGCCTTCTTCTTCGCGAAGAAGTCCTTCGCGCCGAACGAGAAGAGCAGCGCCTCCTGGCGGTCGGCGGTGTGCGTCGCGACGACGCCCTCTGTGCCCTGGTAGCGCAGCGTGCGACCGGTCTTGTTCACCATCCAGAAGGGGCTGTAGACCGCCAGGTGCATCGTGCCGCCGACCCAGCGCGTGTGCACGCCGAGGTGGGCCGTCTCGCGGCCGTCGTCCGAGCGGAAGGTGAGCAGCGCGAGTTCGTCCGCGCCGCGGCGCAGCTCCACGCGCCCGCTGAAGCCCTGCGTCATGCCGTCGGCGAGCGTCAGCTCCATCGCCGTGTCGTCGGCAACGCGCGCGTGGTGCAGCGACGCCGTCACGCCCGCCTCGAGCCGCCGCGGCCCGCCGTCGGTGCCCGGCAGCATGTACGCGACCGCGTACGGCAGCAGGTTGGTGAGAAGCACCGTCGGCCGCAGGTGTAGCGTGTACGCCGTCGTCGTCGTCGCTGCGTTGCCGTCGGCGACGACGTCGGTCTCGGCTTCGCGGCTCGCGGCGACGTAGAACGCCACGTGACCGCTCTTCGTCGACGGACACTCGAGGGTCGCCGCCGCGTCGTCGCCGCGCTCCTGCCGCCAGTTGAACGCGTTTGACGGCGAGAATCCGTCGCCGCCGAGCGGCGCAAAGTAGAAGTTGGCGTCGGCGGAGTAGACGGCAGCGAGCGGCGGGTCGAACGTCTCGTCCGGCGCGATCGTGCCGACCTTGACCAGCCGGCCGTCGACCTTGTAGTGCGTCTCCATGGCGACGGCGAGGTGGTTGCGGACGCGCACGGGCGCGCGCAGCGTCACCTGCTTCTGGCCGTCGGCGGCGTCGACCTGCGCGACGAACGCCTCACCGGCGGCGCCGCCTGGCAGTGCGAACAGCCGCTTGCCGGCGCGCGCGACCGACAGCCGCCGCTCGTCGCCCCCGGGGCCCGCTCGCAGCGTGAGCTCGTGTTGCGGCGGACGCACGGACGCGCGCAGCTGCGACTGGTGCTTCTTCGGACTTCCCGCCGCCGGCGCGCGGAACTCCAGCGGCAGCACCCCGCCGTGCCGCACCGTGACGCCTCCGGCGGCGCCCCCTTGCGGCGGATCGAACGAGTCGTCGGGCGCGACGACGAAGTCGACTCCGGTCGCGTTGCGGACGACGCAGGGCGCGTCGATGACCTCCTCGCCGCGGCGCTGCTCCTCCTTCAGGCTGACGGCGTCTCCGAACGCGCGGCCGAGCGAGGCGAGAACGTCCAGGCACGTCTTCGTCACGCACAGCTGCATCACGTCCATCGAGACGACGTTGACGGCGAGACCGACCGGCCGCGACACGACCACCTCCATGTCGGGGTCGTCCGGCGTCGTCGGCCCCGCCCCCGCCGGGTTTTTATCGACGTGCAGATTGATCTCCCACGGCCGCAGGATGCGCGTGCCGGTGCCGCTGCCCGCCGCCGTGTCTTCGACGGGTTCGAGGAGAGGTTCCCAGACGGCGAGTCGCTCGTTGTAGAAGGCCATCTCGGCGGTGAGGACGGCGGCGAGCTGCAGCGCGCCGCTCCACTCGTGCGCCTCCGCCGTCAGCGAGCTCTCGAGCGTCAGCATCGGCAGCGTGCGCGCGCCGACGCCGCCCGCCTCGACGCGCACGACGATGCTGGCGACGCGCAGCAGCAGCTGCTCCCCGCGCTCCTCCTCCTCCTCCGCAGCATCCTCCTCCGTGGCTTCCTCCTCCGTCACCTCCGCGCCCTCCTCCGCGCCGCGCAGATACCAGAAGTCGCAGTCGGCGAGCGCGCGCGCCTGCCAGAGCGCGCCGAGTTCGATCGGCGCCTCGTGCGCGGCGTCCGCCGGCTCGGCCTGCCCCATCGCCGCGACGATGCCCGACACCGTGCGGATCGTTGCCGGGGAGACGGCGACGACGAGGTCGCCGACGGCAACATCGACCTTCTGTCCGCCGGCGGTCGGCGCCGACGCGAACAGCGTGATGTCGCACGGCTGCACGATGGTGGCGGGAACGGAGGCGGCGCGCGCGACCGGGTCGTGCGGGCACGCGACCACGCGGAGACGCTCGATGCTGCCGGACACCTGCTGGCCGTCGGGCGACACGCGCACGCTCAGCGCGACGTCGGTGTCGACGACGAGCGCGCGCGTCCCGCGGTCCCGCGCGTCCTCCACGAGCGCGATCTCCGGCTTCTCCATCGTGAACTTCAACTCGAAACTCGACGTCGGAACCTCCTTCGCCGGTTTCGCCGCGGTTTCCTCCTTCTTCCCGGCGGCTGCGGGCTTCCCCGGAGCGACGGGAGCAGGAGCCGGCGCGGCGGGAAGCCCCTTCGTGAAGAAGTCCGCGACGGTGAGCAGGTAGTCCATGACGACGCAGACGTAGAAGCTGCGCACGGAGACGTCGACGCGCTTGTCGCTCGCCGGCGTCTGCGCGAAGCTGACGTCGATCATGCGCAGGTTGTGATGTCCGGGGCCGTCGTGAGCCGCCGCCGCCCGCGCCTCCATCAGCCGCGTGATCCCGGTCTCGCGGCCGCTCCTCATGTCGTCCATCACGCAGTTGTACAAGCCGACGCGCGCGGAGACGGCGTTGTCGCTCATCAGCGTGCCCTCGGCGGTCATCACCTGCAGCTCGAAGCGCGCGAGGGCCTTCGCCGGATCGCGCGCCGCCGCGCCCGCCGTCAGACCTGACGATCCCGTGTACAGCGAGAACGAGAGCCGGTCGAACTGGAACTTGAAGCAGACGCGCTCGTGCGGCGAGTCAGCGTCCGACGCGACCACCACGGTCGCAGTGGGCTCAGCGGCGACGGTTTTCGCCTCCACGGCGACGGTTTTCGCTTCCACGGCGACGGTTTTCGCCTCCGCCGCCGCCGCCACCACCTTCTCGCTCTTCGCTACGACGCTCTTCTCGACGAGCTCGCGCTGCGTGAGCTCCGGCAGGGGTTCGGGAGCCGGCGCGCGCGTCGGCCCCTCCTGCAGGTTCTCGTTGAGCACGGCCATCACGAACGTGAAGTCCTCCTGGCTGAGCGTCGCGTCGAGCGCCGTCGCCTGCCCGCCGACGTCGATCTCGGGGATGTCGCGGTACCACGCGGCGCACAGGTTGCGTCGCAGCTCGATCGACACGTTCACGGGAGCGATGAGCGCGCACTCGGCCACGCAGCCTCCCGCGGCGTCCAGCCGCACCCGCGTCAGCTGCAGCCGGTTCAACTCGACCAGCATCTTATCGAGAATGGACGGAAGTCCGTTCGCGTCCGTCGCGCCGGTCACGACGAAGCGGTTGCGCGCGGTCAGGCATCCGAGGTCGGCAACGATCGCCTCGAGCGCGCTCGAACTGCGCGGCACGACGATGACGGGCGCGCTCACGCTCACGTCGAGGCGAACGCGCGTCGCCTTACTCTGCAGGTTCGTCGCCGCCTCGGCGGCCGACTCGGCGGCGGCGGCGCCGGCGTCCGCGATCGCGCGCTGCGCCGCCTCGCTCTGGAACGCGGCGGCGAACGCGGCGACGTCGCCGAGGAAGCGCGCGAGCACGACGACGCGAAGCTGCGCGACGGACAACTCGACAACGAGGTCCGCGGCGTCCATGTCGGCGTACGCGTCGCCGTCGGTCGCGCGCGCGTACTGCCGCACGTGCGCGCTCAGGAGCTCCTCCCCTCCGACCGTCGAGATGATGCGCGGGTGCGCGGCGCCCGGGGTCGGGTCGGCGACGACGACGTCGCGTAGAGACGCGGCGACGGCGATCGACTCGCGGCGCATCGTCACGCCGGCGTGCAGCCCGCTGAGCGTGAGCGCCGCCACGGCGCCGTCATCGTCGCACAGTGACACCGCGATCGAGCCGAGCCGAGCCTCCAGCTGAAGCTCGATGATCTCCTCCAGGCGGCGCCGGCGTTCCTCCGAGAGCGGCACGGCGGCGAGCGTCGTCCGCGACGCCGCCGCCACGATCGGCTTGGGGGCGCCGGCGTCGTCCGGCGGCGGCGGCGCGGCGACCTCGGGCTTGCTCGGCACGGCAGCGGCCATCTTCTCGCCGAAATCCTTTCCGAACTGCATGAGGTGGAGGAGGGCACCACGGTGCATCGTCACGTCAAGACGAGAGAACGTCACGGCGACCGCCTGCTCCGCGTTGCCGTACGTCGTCGCAAACTCGGGGCCGGCGCGGTTCGCGCGCACGTAGGTGGCGCTGACGAGGTCGACGTCGTCGCGGCCGGCCGCCGGCGTCCCGACGAGCGCGACGGGCGCGCCGTCGGCGCCGTTGAACTGCAGGTGGCGCACGGACACGCCGCCGACGCGCGCGCCAACGCGCATCTCGTACGTGCGCACCGCCGCCTCGACGACGACGCCTTCGACGGCGATTGCGACAATGCCAACATCGTGCGTTTCGACACGCCGGCACACGCTCACCGCGAAGCGCCGCAGCTCGAATCGCAGCTCAATGTCCGTCAGCTGCTCCGCCGGACCCTCCTGCTTCTTCTTCGCCGCCGCCGCCACCGCCGCCGCCCGACGCGCGATCCTCTCTGCATCGCCGTCGTCGACGGCGACCGCATCCGGGACGACCGCCTCGGCGGGGGGAGCGGCGGCAGGTTCCGGAGTCGGGATGCTCGCGGCGAGGCGCGCGATCTGCTGCAGCTTGTGGTCGGAGACGGAGATGGCGAGGTTGGGAAGCTCGCTGAGCACGCGCACCTTGGGCAGGCGCGGGTCGTCGACGATCAGCCCCTTGTGGAGCTGAACGTTGAGGTCGAACGGCTTCAGAAGCTGGAGGCTGGAGTCGGCCTCGCCGCGCGCCACCTTCCAGTCGTCGCCCGGCTCGGCGAACATCACCTGAACGCGCTGCAGCGCGATGTCGAACTTGTCGTAGGAACGGCTCTTCAGGTCGTCCATCACCTCCTTCTCTGCTCGACGAAAAACAATAGTGACGTACGTGAATAACGTACGTAGTGTGAATAATACGGGAAAGGAAGCAAGTGAGTAAAGGTACCAAGTAAAATTAGAAATAGAAAAAGAAGTCGTTAGAAAGAAGAAAACCCTCCTTCTCTGCTCGACGAAAAAACAAGAGTAACTTATGTGAATAATGCATGTAATGTGAATAATAGCAAGTGAGTAAGAAGGTACCAAGTAAAAATACAAATAGAAAAAGATGTTAGAAATAAGAAAAAGTAAGGTCGTAAATAAGTTGGTAAATCTAAAGTGAGTAAAAATGAGCAAAGTAATAAAAACTATAAAACCAAAAAAAAAGTAAACAATTAAGGTTAAAAGTAAAAAAAAACTAATAAAAACAAGTAAAGTAATAAAAAGTCACAAAGCTGATAACATATATTAGTCTTATCATTACTATCCAGAATTCTATACTATCAACATCTCCAAAGAAACATCACACCACCAGAAACCAACCAGCTAAAACACCAGCAAATTAACTAAAAAGCAGCAAAACTACATCGAATCACAATCAAAGAGAATGGAAGAATCAAATTGAATAATTAATTTCCATAATTTTCATAATTTATGCACCTGTGCTGCCGACTCGTGGCAGCATCGGCCGCTTGTCCTTGACGCTGCGCATCGTGAGAGCGCCAAGGTCGAGTACGAGCAGGTGGGCGCTGTCGCTGTAGACGCCGTTCTCCGGAACGATGACGTACGACGGCTGAATGTCGATGTTCAGGTCCATGTACTTGTGATGCTCCACGGCATGCTGTAAGCCTGCACGCAACAAGGTCGCGCGTGGGTCAACGAGGTCATGCATGGGTCTACGAGGTCGCGTGTGGGTCAACGAGGTCGCGCGTGGGTCAACGAGGTCGCGCGTGGGTCAACAAGGTCGCGCGTGGGGCAATGAGGTTGCGTGTGGGTCAACGAGGTCGCGCGTGGGGCAACAAGGTTGCGCGTGGGGCAACAACGTTGCGCGTGGGTCAAATAGGTCAAGTAGGTCGCACGTGGGTCAACGAGGTCGCATGTGGGTCAACGAGGTCACGCATGGGTCAACGAGGTCACGCATAGGTCAACGAGGTCGCGCATGGGTCAACAAGGTCATGTATGAGTCAACAAGTGCAAAGGTCAATGACGCAGTCCTTTACGAAATTAAATGACCGAATTCGCGAATGTCCTCAAAATACCAGACAAACCGTCGCTTCATATCACTAGCGCCGACAGAAACTCGCGCGACAAAACAATTTAATTTCGAGCTTAGTTCCGAATTAATCCGATTTAGTTCCGATTCGAAAAGCCCTTGAATCACAGCTACGAATCTTACTCCATGCTTGCTGTCCCCCTACAGGCTGGCACTTACCAGTGGCGGACATCTCTTTCAGCTCATCCAGCTTAGAGGCGGCTGCAGCCTGCAGCTGCGATAGATGAACCGACTCCGGAGGCTTGAAGAAGTCCGCAACCTGGTTGATGGTGGCCGCGTTGTACACGATCTCCAGAGGCCTAATCGCAATACAATTAACAGTTATTTTTACAATATTTATCATTTTATTTACATTATTTATTATTTATTATATTTTATTAATTTTTCATTTTAACATATTTTAAATACTTAAATTATTAACTAAATTAATAATTACACAATTTTTATAATTACAATTATACTACGATGACACGGGTCATTTTATTCACTGGTAAATCCATGTAGGGAAGCTGTTAGTGACCGATTCTCTACGTCCCCCCCCCTCCAGGTACGGACTTGCGCATGGTTAGGGTTAGGATTAGGACCAGGGTTAGGCTCAGGGTTAAGGTTAGGATTAGGGTCAGAATAAGGGCTAGGGATAGAGTCAAGTTCAGGGTTAGGATAAGGATCAGGGTCAGGAGCAGGGTCAGCATCAGGTTCAGGATCAGGATAGGGTTAAGGTCATGGTTAAGGTTAGGATTAGGGTCAGGGTTACGATCAGGGTCAGGGTCTTGGTTAGGGTCAGGATAAGAGATAGGGTTACGGTCAGGTTCAGGGTTAGCATCAGGTTCAGGATCAGAGATAGGATTAAGCTTGGGGTTAAGGTTAGGGTCAGGGTCAGGGTCAGGGTCAGGTTCAGGATCAGGGCTAGGGTCAGGGTTACGTTCAAGGTCTAGGTCAGGATCAGGGTCAAGTTCAGGGTCACCTCACCTGGCGAGAAGCTTGACTCGCTGGTCGCACTGCTTGTCCAGCGGGTTTGTCTCGAACATCACGCTGAGCAGGTTGGCCGCCACGCCGCCGCCGGCGCCATCTGTCTGCGTCGTGACCAGGTGCGGCACGCTGTCGCCGGCCGGCACGCCGTACACGGCCATCGACGCAATGCTGGCGTCAACCTGCATCGAGAAAGTGTCTACGTCTGCAGGCGGTGATCGGTCATCAGACATACCTCTCTCTTTCTCTCTATCACACACATACCTCTCTCTCTCTCTCTATCACACACATACCTCTCTCTCTCTCTCTATCACACACATACCTCTCTCTCTCTCTCTATCACACACATACCTC